CTTGTTCGGCAAGGGGTGCCAGAAAAGGTTCCCGAGGGGCAACTGTGCAGAGATCCGCAAGTCAGAAAGATGAACTCAGCAGGCCGGGGCCCTGAGAATCTGCGAACACGGTCCCCAAATCACCAAGTGTACACAGAACGCAGCGACCAGGCCCCGGGGGCCGGCCCAACCCACTTAGGGAGCAGTCTGACGGTGTCCCGTGGGTTCCGAACGCTGGGCCAACTCCGGCTGCAGCCTCTACTCCTCCCTGCGTCTCCTTCCTTCTCTCCGGCCCTCACAGGCACAGGCAGCACAGGGCAGTCCAGCAGCGCAGCCCCTGGGCCACCCTCCCCGCTTGCAATTTCCTGTGTATGCTGTGGTCACCATTGCGCGAGGGATCCGAGGCAGGGGAGCTGGGGACCAGTGTCGGCTGGGCAGAGGTTGCCATCCTGAATTTCCTTGTGCAGTCAAACCCCTCAGCACTGGGCCACCCCAGCACCCTCCTCTGTGCCGATCAAGCCTGGCTTACGGAGCTGACAGACAGACTGGGCAAGGCCTGCGGCTTCCACTCGCAGGAGCTCAGTGAAGGCAAAGTGGATCGGTCACCCAATTGACCAGACCCACCCTCAGGAAATGTCCCTCAGGTATCTGCAGGGAGGATGGAGACCCAGCGCCTCCAGCAGCCTTTGGAGGACAAACACAACTTCCTCCTCTTCCCTCACTCTGCTGAGTGCTCCAGGCCGCTCTGTCCCCAAAACACAGTATCTCTGTTCCTGTACACACAGGTTTCCGGGGAAACCACCACCCCTCCTCAGGGCCACACTGTTGCTCACACTCTGACCCTGGACGAGAGGGGACCAAGGTCTAGGACAGGCGCGGGTCTGAATCATTTCTGGATTCTCAGTGCCATCGATGACTATGAGTACACAGGTGAACGCATGGCTCACTGTTTTTATAGAACATGTTGGGATAGACTTGCTAATCCAGAGAGGCCAGGAGAGAGCTCTGCTGTTCCACACGTCACTCGCAGCAGGTCACTCCCAGGATGCAACTTGAGCCCCGCTGTTTACAGGGTCAGGGAAGAGGAGGCAGAGAGTGAGCCTCAGCCGGAGCCACCCTGGCTGCACTGACCCAAAGCACGTGGCCTCCTGCATGGAAGCACCTGGGGCCTAGTGACCGAAAGCTATGCACACCCCGGAGGATGCCAGCCCCTGGGCCTGTGACACCACCGCAGGTGAGGCTTCTTCCGCTGAGCTGTCTCTTAAATATCATTTATGTCCTACGATATGAAGTAACTTCCCCGTCCGCTGAGAACGCTATTGCTATTTAATAAAAAATATCCACTTGTATATACCTAACAAATGAAAAGTCTCCTCTTTTCAGTCCCTTGTGTTTTGAGCTCAGGAGTTGAAGGCTCATGTCTTGTCACTGTCATGGTCTGGCCAAGTTTCAAGAAGACTGAAGAAGCCTCCAAAGGCTTATGTTAGGCCTTGAGGGATCAACACTCCCAAACAGGAGGGGACACACCCCACCCTTCGATCTGATTGATGCGTTTTACCTCCTATACAAGGCCAATATTCAGAGACGGGAATTGATGATCTCTAAAATCTCCATCCAAGCACTAGAGGGTGTGAACTCCACCCCTGCCTACGCCCCGGGGCTTGAGCGGGACCCTCCCTGGGCACTGGCCCTCCCGGCCTGCAAGCCGAGCGGTTTCTCCCCTCCAGGAACTGGCCCCCTGCCTGTTTCCTCTTCCTCTCAACTGGCTCCTCCATAACCACCTGTAGACAGCAGTGGGGAACCTACGGCACACGTGTTCTTTTTCTTTTAAGACAAAGGATATTAATGTATACGTTGTTTTGTCCAAACTAAAACCTCAGTACTCAGGTTTAATCGCAGTCTTCGAGCTTTGTGATAAATAAGTGGGCTTGGGTGCAGTTTGGACGCTCGTCTGAAAGGTTCGCCATCACTGCCAGACTCGTGCAGTCTCTCCGCCTCCAGAGACAGCTCGGCCAGCCTCCCTAGGCACAGGAGGCGCCCCAGTTCCTGACCCCCACTGTCTCCCCTCCACTCTCCCTCCTGGCGACTGCCCTGAGGAGGGCAGAGGACGAGCATGCGCCCTGGCTCCCGCTCTCCCTTGACAAGTGTTGTGGGTGGGGGAAGAAGTGAGCACATCCTCAGCAAAGCACCCAACCTTGCCCCGGAGAGGGGACAGCCACATTCCAGTGGTGGCTGGTGGTGGCTGGCCTCCCGGGAGGGAGCTGTTTCTGAGCACTGGCACGCAGCAGGATAGCTGCTCCCTGCACCCTCCCGAGGTGGCCTCCAGATGCTGAGCCACCACACCTGAGCTGGGGGCCTGGGATCCTGACTAACAGATAAGGAAACAGAGGCCCCAGGCCACAAGCACACTGATAACCAGCTTCAGAGACCAGATGTCTGCCTGCCTGCCTGTCTGTCTCTCCCACACGCTAGGCAAGCACTCCAGCACCAAGCCACACCCCAGCCCCAACCAGATGTCTTGAATCCAACACCCTTTCATTCAAAAATGTGCTGCCGACATCTGCTCCTTGTCAGACTGTGGGTGCCTGGAAGTGCAAGATTAATGACAGTACTGTCCCGAGGCGGGAGAGGGACACTGAAAACTACAATCTGGCTGGTGGTGCACACCAGAGCCCGCCTCCTCCCGCTGCCATCTGGCCCCGCAGGAGAAGCCACAGCTGCAAAGAGGACGAGACAGGAAGGTGGAGGCCCCGGGCCGATGACTTCTCTCAGCAGTGGCGGCTGCAGGAAGGCCGGGGACTGGGTCACGGGGGCTGAGAGAGGATGCAGCTGCCAGGGCAGGAGGAAACCAACCAACCACTTGTCAGGACCGGGCAGTTGTGACAGTGACCGTTTGACTGGCTCAAGTGGCACAGGGCGAGGCCAGGCTAGAAGAGGAGGTGACTGGAAAGGGACCAAAATTTTCAATTTGTGAAATCCCACCGAACTCCACACTGTTCCCAGCTCCCTCAAGAGTTCCAGCAAAGTAGCTGATGAGCCTCCCGCACTGCAAGTGGGCAAACTGAGGCCCAGAGAAGTTGTCATGGGCCCGGGGTCATGTAGGATGAGGAGTCTTTTTTTTGGTACTGGGGATTGAACTTGGGAACTTGGGCTTTCGAGGCAGATGACAGAACCACTGAGCTAAATCCCCGGCCCTAGGATGAGGTGTCTTGAGTCACCATTCAAATTGTGAGTGCTGGGCTGAGACACGTGACCTAGAGGCCCCGGCAGGGAGGCCTGAAATGGGGGTGGCCCTGAGCAGACGGTGGAACAAAAGCGCCAGCCACGGCCAGCACAGGGCCACACAGCAGCCTGGCCCGGTCAGGTCTGAGGGCTGCAGGCCCTGCTGCAAAACCAGGACCCCGGGAGGAGAAAGAGGAAGTCATGAGCCCTCAAGGGCTCCCTCAGCCTGGATGGGCTGAGTTCTGTCGTCCTCTGCCTTCTCTCTGGCCTCTGCGACTCCTTCCTGCACAGCTCGGGGAGACTCAGTAACAGACACCCTACACGTGCGGTTGGAGGACTGCCTGGGTCCCCCAGCTGTTCGGGGGGTGGGGGGCCTGGCCTGGCGCCTAGAGTGGCAACGCCGGTCCTGTCCAAGTCCTTGGCCTGGCTGGGGCCCTGGACAGGTCTGGGGTAAAGCCCACCAGCTCTGTCCAGTGTGGGCTCCAGGGTGGATGCTGCCCGGCAGCCTCTGCACTCAGCCCCCTGAGCACAGCCTTGGTCCAAGCATCTGAGGCTGCGGAGCCTGGAGAGCTGGACATCTGGACTAGTGTCCTGTGGTCACCACTGGAGCCTGCCACAGTGACTCGCGTCAAGGCCTCTGCATCCTGTCCAGCCACCACAGCCTGACACTCGGCAGGGAAGCGGAGCCCCTGCGGGGCCAGAAGGCATCCACACAGTATCTGTGCCTCTGCTGCACCCCCAAGACACTGAGGGCCTAAAAGGCCTGCATTTGGCTGGGTGTGGTGGAGCCACTCGGGAGGCTAAGGCAGGAGGGCAGTGAGCTCCGGCCCAGCTCTGGCTATGTAGCAAGTTAAAGGTTCTGGATTTGCACAGTGCTACTGAACAATGGCACAGAGTATCATCCTGTGCACTCCTCATCCATCCTCACTGCAGCCTAGCAAAGATGGAATAAAGCTCCCCTGCTCCGCATGAGGAGACCAAGACCCAGCCAAACACAGGCAGAGAGAAGAGGTCATGGCCAAGGTCAACCCAGCTTTGCTGCATCTGAATTCTGGTCTTCGCCGACCTCTTGCCTACTGCCCAGGTGTGAGTCTATCTGTGCTCCTCCAGCCAGAGGCCTGGGGTAGCCCCAGAGTCAACAGCACAAGAGGAAAAACATCTGGATACTTAGGCCACCCAGTCCACGGCCACGAAGACTGCAGGAGGCCGGGCTGGGCCGGGCGCACTGGGGGGAGAGGACGCTGCCCGCTCCTGGCTTACCCTCCCAGCCCAGGCCAAACCACCCACCCTGTCCTGCACGTGGAGGCCCAGCCAGCGGCTCTCTGGGTGCCGAGTCCCCTTGCAGTGAGAACAGAGCCTCTCACCACCTCCGACTTCCACTCCCCCAGAAGCCGCCACCTCCCAGCCTGGTGTCCACGGGGATGGAGCCCATGTGGCTCCGCCAGGGTTGGGGAAGCGGTCTGCGTGCGCGCGTGTGCAGGGGAAGCACAGGCAGGTCCACCTCACCTCGGGGACTGGCTCAGTGCCTAAAGGTCAGGAAGGTCCAGCGGGATTGAAGGGCAAAGTTGCCCGGGCTCCCATAGCCATGGTGCTAAGTGAGGGTGCGGAGCAGGGCAGCCCATGCAGAGCCCCGAAACCTCAGATGAAGACAAGGCCTCGCAGTGCCCTCCCTTGGCAGCAGAGCTAAGATCTCGGGCAGCATCTTGCAAAAATCCCCCAAGTTGCTGCTGGGGTGGGGCGGGGACACTCAACCCAGAGCAAGGCCGGAAGGGCCACTGCCTGGGGAGGGCGGCACCTACCTGGACCTCCCGCGTGTGATAGGCGATGATCAGTCCCAGCAGGATGATGGTGGAGAGGCTGATGAGGCATTTCAGGGCCAGCGAAAACATGGAGTCCTGCAGGAGACAGACAGGGGATTAGGGAAGGCCAGCAAAGGCGCATCTCGGTTCCATCTCAGTGGGGACAGAGGTGGGGCCAGCCCAGCCCTCCTGGGAGCAGGACGGGCCACAGGCTCAGCCAGAGAGCCCTGGCCTGTGCCTGGGCCACCAGACTCCAGAGCTGGCCCTCAGAATCTGTTTTCGAGGGTTAGATGGCTGCTGCATTGTGTGAACTCTGCCTGGGTGTGATCTATTATGTTTGGTATACTCAGCTCGACTCCATTTGCTGATGTGTTATTTAGAATTTTTGCCTCCATGCTCATAAGTCATGAGAACATAATTCTTTTTTGTGCCACCATTATTTGGTTTAAGCATCCATATTATGCTAGCTCGGGTCTCTGTTTTCTCTTAACAAACCGGAAGCAGAGGGTTTCCAAGTCCCTTCCATCTCTGACAATGCAAAGTTCTTTTAGGAATGAATTAGAATGTCCTGGCAGCTGCTGACATCTCCTGGCATAGGCCAAGGGCAGTTGAGGAGCAACTGGGGGAAGACGAGGGCCCAGGGCAGGAGCAGAGTGGGTCCCGGGCAGGCACAGGCCTGGGGGTCCCTCGTGACAGGGAAGAGGGGCAGCTGCATGACCTTCCCCACAGCTTCCCCCAGGGCCTGGAGAGCCTGTTGCCCTGTGCTCCCCAGGAGCTGAGCTCTCGCCAGCATGCAGGGTCTAAACCCTCACACACCCACTGGGAGCTGTGACCTCAGGCCATCGCTCGGGCCTCTGCATGCCTGGTGGGCCCGCTGTTGGGTGGGAAAATATCAGTGTCATGGACAGCGCCTGGGACAGCGCCTCGTAGCCTCACACTGCTCACTTCACAGCGTCTGGTTGGGCCTGGGGCATGGCACTTGGAGACAGCTGGGTCCTGTCCCAAAGGGAGCCCAGGACACCAGCCTGAGCAGAGGTGGCAGCGAGACCCGGGCAGCATCTCCAAGCCCACACTGTGCGGTACTGTGCATGGTCCTGAGGTTTTAGACCTGTCATCACCTCAGAAACAGCCCTGTCCTCAAGGAGCTGCTGCTCAGACCTGTGTGACTGCTGCAACGAGCAGTTTGCATGGTGGTTTCATATGTTTGTTCTCGAACATCTGCACACAGCCCTTGCCTCCATGCCAGCGCCATAGACACCATGGTGGAGGCCCAGAGGGGCTCGGGGCTTGGCCCCCGCCCAGAGCACTGCCCACAGCCCTGGGCTACTCTAAGAGAAACGTGAGAAACACGTGAAATGTTCTCAGACAGACCTGGCTGCTCAGACAAGGGACCAAAGCACGGTTAGGTTCCGTCCAGAGCAAGAGGCAGTTCTAGTTTTCTATGGCACAGTGGGGTAACTTAGTCTAGAATAATATGTGATATATTTTTAAATAATCGAGGAGAATAAAAAAGTTCCCAACACATAGAAATGCATAACGTTTGAGGAGACGGAAATGTTTATTGCCATGCACACGGAATTATCAGGCCACACCCTGTAAAGATGTACGGGTACCGTGTATCCATACAAAGTGTTTCAAAGGTAAGGTATGGTCAATCACCAAATGAGACCTATCGTGGGGCTGGGACAGCCCCGAGGGAAACAGCCCCAGGGATGGGTCCGAGAAGGGCTCAGAGGCAGGCTGAAAGGTGGCTGAGACCTGCAGCTGAGGGATGGTGTCCAACAGGGCATTGCCAGAGTAAGAGGTGGGGCTGGGACTTGAACCCAGGACCTCCAATGACCAGGTCCATAAGCTCCTCCACCCGCTGTGGGCTGAGGCAGAATGAAAGCAGCTCTCCCTGGTTTCTATCAATCTCACCATTTGTTTCCTTGATACAGTTATTGAAGACCACTTTGTGCCAGGCACAAGGCTAGCCCTGGGGACACAAGGAAAAACTAATGGAGTAACTTGTTCGTTCACTCACGCTTGCACAATAATTTCAACCGCTTCTCATTTCCTGAGCACCTGTGAGACAGCCAACAGGGCGCTGCACAGGGCTCCTTTTGCTGGAGGCTTCTAGTCTAGATTATACACCAACTCCAACTTTCTACCCAGCATGGGGCACTCGGCACAGGGCTGGGGCTGTGTGGCTCCGTGCTGCAGCACCCACCCAGCGGGCTGGAGAGCCTGGGGCCCACGCCCAGGTTTCCTTTGGCCTCTTCCCCCCTTGGCGGTCCAGGGCAGGGAGGCCTGCGCTCCTTCACTGAGTGCGCTCGGACATGGGGCTCAGGCCCAGCCTCAAGGGGGCTCCGGGGAGAAGCTCGCCTGCTGCCTGCACGCCGCCTCCCCCAGACGGGGCTGGGCTGGAGTCCGGGACACAGCTGCTCCGGGCTGAGATGACCCTCCCTGGGGACAGCTCACAGCACTTCCCAGCCAGAGAGGACCATGGCGTTCTCCTCAAAGGCTCTGAAGGCGGTTGGGGAGCGTCACGCCCCCCCCCCCCCCAGGACGCTCTGGGATCAGCTGCACATTGCAACCTCTAATTTATTTCTTTTGGCAGAAATCAGAATCTATTAATTCTCATCATTTTAAGAGGAAGAGGTAAAGGGAAAGAGGCCAGATGCTCTTTTCTCCTTTAAGCCTCTTCCATTTGTCCTAAGACTCAAAGCCTTTCCACTAAAAGGCTTCTTGGTTTTGGCCAGGGCACTGCCTGGCCATCTGGTCCTGGGTAGACCACGCCTTGGTGCGCTGGATCAAGGGACTGTGGAAGCCTCAGACTTCCTGCATTCTCCATCATGTTGATAAAAAACAAACCACCATGCATCTCCGCGTAGCTAGAAAACATGTCAAAGAAGTTGGGCTGGAGCAGGAATGCTTCCTAAGGTCAAAATGCTGAACTTGCCTCTTTCCTCTGCTGCCCGACTCAGGTGAAGCTGGAAAGTGATGTGGCTCCCGCAGGACACGGTGCTGCTAATGGGCTGCCACTCCCCTGCGCCCAGCACCCCGCCAGCCGAGGGTCAGAAAGAGGCCTTGGGAGCTAGGAGCGAGTCTTATCTCCTCTATGACTCTGAGCTTCTCAACAACAATGCAATAACCCCTAACACCCAAGGGTGCACAGGAACTACATCCGACGGCAGACAGTCATGTTTGCAAAGGTATCCATTCCTAAAGGCCCAAGAATATTCAAGCGATTCATTCAGTTTGAAACCATTCCGTGATGGAACACTGTGCAGCCCCCCAAAAGACACTGCTGTAGGGAACATGTGAAGGATGAAGAAAGGTTGTTGATGGAGTGCTAAGTGAAAGGCTCTGGCCCCAAACTGTATTTGTGCTATAGTTTCCATTTTGGCGGGGGGAGGCGTGGTGCTGGGGATTGAACCAGCACATTTAGACTGAGCTGCAGCCCCAGTCTTTTTTAGGGTTTATTTGGGGACAGGGTCTTCCTAAGTCGCCCAAACTTGGCTTTAACTTGTCACTCTCCTGCCTCAGCCTCCCAGAGGTCTCAACTCACATTTTTAAAAACTTTCGTAATGCCCAAAGACAGAAAATGCATCAAATATCCACATTATAGGAGATATTTTTCTTATTATTGTCTTCTTTTCTCGAATTTCCAACAATGAGGGTATACTACTTTTATAATAAAAGAAACTTGTCTCTCAAAATCTGAGCCCCAGACCCTAGGAAGAGATCCCTGCAGATGGGTGACTGGCTCTATTCACAGCACAGCGCGTGCCCTGTCTCAGGTGAGACAAAGGACTGGAGGCACCAGGCTTTTCAACACCATTTCAGAGCCAGGCCTAGTGGCGCACACGTGTAACCCCAGCACTCAGGAGGCTGAGGCAGGAGGATCACCATGAGTTCGAGGCAGCCTGGGCTACACAGCGGGACCATCTCAGAAAAACAAAAACCAAAATAAATAAATAAATACTGTTTCATGACTTGATGCCCAGCCTACTCTCACGCTACAAAAGTCACTGCTCTACTCGCAGCAGGAGATGCCGCGCTGCACCGAGAGAGGAGGGGCCTCCTGTGAGCCTGGACCCAGGCAAGGGGCTCACCCAGACCTGCTGACCTTTTGCTCCATTCAGCTCCCAGTTACAGAACTCAGAATAAGAACACTTGGACTGCGACCTCGTAGCCTGCCCGATGCCCTAGCGCTTCTCAAGCCCCGAGCGTGTACCTGCCCCAGAACAGCTGGTCCACGCACTTCACCTCAAGGCTCACCTCACACCTGAGGTCAGAAGCCTCGACCCCCACGGCAACCCAAGCACTGGAGAGCCGGAGTGGCTCTGAGGGCCCACGATGGCCCAGACGCCGCGGTGCGGCCCGGGCTCCCGGGCAGAGCGGAGCTGTCCCCTCAGCAGACGGGCTGCTGCTCCACCAGCCCTCCACCCCAGGCCGTGCGGGCTGCAGTGTGCTCCAGGCCTGAGCCAGCCGTCCGAATTGCTGTCCTGGCTGCCGTAGCTTCCCAAGATGACCAGGACTGCAGAGGTCACGGTAGGTCTTCCAGAGGCCTGGGAGCTCCGAGTCTGTCCTACTGTTTAGCACACTGGAAAAAACAGAAAACTATGCTGCCAGGCAGAGTTGTGGCAGGGCACTGAACCGAAGTGAAGTACGAGCTTGAGAAAGGGGTGTGCAGCCTCTTCCTAACCAAGCTGACCCCGGGTGTGTGTGCGTGTGCTCATCCACACACATGCGCGGCCTGTTCATGATTTCCATCACTGCTGGAGCCCCCAAAGGGAAAGCGGGACAGCATCCAGTCTGTGCAGGATTGACTGGTGTGCCTTGCCGGCATCCCTACGTTTTGTACATTCGATTTGTGAAATGAATGATTTAGAAATCTTTTCTGTTTAATAAGGTCAACTTTTCCTTCCATTTCATGGAGGGGTCCAGAGCTGGTTGGCATTCAGCAGCAGCGTAGCGCTGCACTGCGGAAGGGCTGTCCTAATTAGGCACTCTTGCTAATTAGCGCTATGCAGATTAGGTCAGCCCCTCCTCACAGCAGCTCTGGTGCGTTCTCCAGGGAACCCGAGCTTCCCTCTCTTCCGGGGCTTCCA